CAAATGAGGAAGAGGCAATTTAGGAAAATGGAGAAATCTGGCTGAAGCCACCCAGGGGCCGGGGGTGATGGAGCCAGGCTGATTCTGGAGCCGGCACGTGGACCACCGCACCGCAGCTCCACCGAGGGCCGGGCAGGCCAGACCAGCCCCATGAGCTCCCCTCTGTCATCCCCACCACCCTCCCAGCAACACGTCCTTGTGGCCCCTGCCCTGGCCAACGTGGCCGTCACAGCGAGGGCCTCAGCCTGTCTCGTGTTCATTTGCTCCTTGTGAACAGACAGGAAGATCAGTGAGTGCAGACAGGCAGGTGGGAAGCAAACTGCAAAACCCCGGGAGGTTCGGGATTTAGAATGCATCGGGTGTCCGTATGACCAAAAATCTGTCACTTGGCTGTTGGGGGAGGATATGAAGGACAACACTAGGGAGGTTGGCTTGTAAAACTGCGCGGTCCTCATCTTGCATTCCAGAAACTCAGTAGAGGCTCTCTAAGATGCATAAATTAATACACATCTACACAAGTGTATTTTAGAAATACAGGGATATAATTTTAAAAATTAAAGGTGCAGAAGGAGTTATGACTAAATTGGGTTTGGGAAGGGAAGGGGTAAAACTAGAATTGTGTTTGGCTATGTCCCTTCTAGCACCACTTGACTTTGAAAACTATGTACAAGGCAATACTTTATTAGATATTAAAGTAAGGCTTAAAATGAATTGCTGCCCATCAGAAAATACCCATTAGAAATTTTGAAATCAGAATCACATACCAAATAATCACCAGTAAGATCCAAGTAAATGGCCGTGGAAGAATTTGGATGAAGAGCTGACGCTGCATCTTCTGCTGAGGACGCGCTGAGGGGCCGCCGTCTCTCCTGCACCAGCCACAGGCACCTCCCTGGTTCCTGTCGCCACAGGAGATGCGCCCAGGCCTGGCCAGGACAGATCCGAAAAGCTGCTCGCAACTCCTAGAGCCATCAACCCCGCCGCAGCCACACCACCCACCCCTGGACGACGGTTGCCCCGCCCTCAGCCAGGTCCCTGGCCTCTGCTACCTGCCTCTGTGTTTTTACCGTTGACTGGCCCCTCCCGGCTCAGATATGGTCGGCTCAGATTCGGGTCGGTCGGCTCTGCCTCGCAGGTTCCCTTTCGACCCCCACACTTGCCGCCTCTGCCTGTCCACGCTGGCCGCCCCTGCCTCATGCTGTCATGCGAGTCCTTGACAGGCAGGAGCCTCTTATTTGCCCCATGATGTTCTCGCCCAGCGTCAGTCATCCCTCTGCGGCCCTGACCTTGACGATCAGTACGGACGGCAGCCGTTGCAATGGCCTGAAGGGTACAAGGCCACCAGTCTTGCAGATGCGTGGCACTGTTCCGTGAACCTGTGTGGATTCTTGGAAATTAAGTCATGGATCTGGACAGTGACCGTGTGCTCCTGGAAGCCGCGTCCAGTCACTAGGAGATGCTAACACAAGATTAGCTTCTATTTACATCGATTTACTGCCTTCAGTGCTCAGCTTACTATAAAGTGGATTTTGTCCCATGAGAACATTGCACGTGGAATGGAATGGGATATGATTGAGAGAGGCAGCTATTCACTGACCGACGGATGCAATAATTTACTGAGCACTTACTTTGCTCTGGGGTCAAAGGTTACAGAGAGGAAATGGATTGCTCCCAGCTTTCAGGGAGCTTACAGTGCATGGGAAGCATTATAAACAAACAGTAATAATGCTGTAAGCTCCTGGCATCACGAGCCCAAGGAGCACTGAAAAAGGCACGCGTGTTCTCTCGTTACAACCTCAAATCCCAGAGATCGGCCCCAGACTCATGGGGACAGGCTTCGCAGCAGTTCATCAGGGTCTCTCCCCTGCTCATTGAAACCCTGAAGCCCACATCCCAATAGGCATTCTTCTTATCAGTTCTACCCATGTGCCACTCTAGAATTATGTTGGGTCTATCATAAAGTATAGCCAAAAAAGATATTTTAAAGGACGGGGTTTGTGTGGATACAGTTTCTCCCTCGGCTCCCCCTGCGGACACCTCCACTCTGACACCCCGGTCAGCTCCAGGGGAGAGCCTTCCCGTCGCTGTTCAGAAACTTAGTGAGCTCACCCAGGTATCGGGGACAGCCCACGAGGGCAGCTCCGAGGAAAGCGTGTGATGATACAGACGTGTCCTAAAGGACAGCCGGGAGCCACCATTTGCACAAGGCACAATTTTCCTGCCAATAGGTCCATTCAAGACATCAGGTTGGTTCGGAGTCACTTAGTGAGCGGTCTATTAGAGTGGGTGGGATTGGCGTCTGCGGGGAGGTTTTGCCAAACCAGAATAACCGACCGACCTGTCCTCTCACTCTCTGGGGATGTTTCTGTCTGAGGAACCAGTGCCGGACCTCAATAAACCGTGACACGTTTGCTTTTTCGTTTTCCTTTGTCTAGAATCTCTTCAGGCAACCACGCCTGTGTTAGCCCAGCACCGCCTCAGGGAAGGAGAAACGGCCAGGTCGCATGGGCACTTGACAGTGTTCCTTGCTTTCACGCCTTGGGCACGCAGCCTGCAGAGACCGGACTGCCCTGCTCCGGCTGAAGTGTGGCTGGGGCGGGTGGCCCTGGTGGCTCCCCGGCTGTTAACGGTTCTTCCTCCCCCGCGCCCCCCCCGCCGCCCCCGCACCCTGTCAGGGTAAGCAGAACCCACTGGCCCCAGGACTTGGACTGCGGAGAGGGTCGCCCCCGCTGGTTTGATTTCGGTTCTGTGTCAAGACTATCGTTGCCGGCCAGCTGGTCCAGGGGGCCTGAACCGCTCTGGCCGTGTATTAAGCCAGAGCTTGAGCCTGAAAGAGGACTCAGACCCCAGAGGACAGCAACTTCAAGAGTTAAATTAAGATTCTTTCTTTCCCGTATTATTCTAACCAATGCCAAATAATACTCTTCTTCCCAAGAGAAAAAAACAACTGTATTTTTCGCCTACTGAAAGCTATGATACTGCCATTTTAAAAAATATATAGCTGGAAACTGCGTGGAGACTTTGGGGATAACTTCAACCATAGACCCCACCAGCACTGTTTTTACCTTAATGAAGACATTTACAAAGATAGTTTGCACCGACTTACTGGTAATATATTGCTATTCACTTACCTGACTATCACTGTATTCTACAATTCTTTTCTCTTAAGAACAACAACAAACAGCATTAATTAAATAAGAGGTTATTTTAATATCTCATAATATAGCAGTATTCTAAATTTAAAATTACAGCCTAAGCATAGCAATACCAACACAAGGTTCATTTTACTTAAGAATAGTAGTTGAACTGAATATTGCATCTGTGCATAATTTGCACAAAAGAGGAAAAAAATCTAGTCTATAAAAGCTTATAGACTGAATTCAATTAATACATTGTGTTCTTGGAAGGAAAGATAGCAAAACTCAGTTTAAAAACAAACATATTTTAGCTGTTAAAAGAAGGTTTTCCCCAGGTAATTTGCTGATCTAGTAGGCTTTTTATTCAGCAGATTGGGCACTGTCCCCTCTAGCAGATAGAAAGGAGTCCTGAGAAGTTGTATGAGGTGGAGGTTTTTATAGCCCCAGGTGAGTAAGAACAAGGAGGTCATACTGGGCATTGGCTGATTGGCTAGAGCAGGGTGACCTCCCTTATATAAACCGAAGGGAAAGGCTTGGGCAGGTCAGGGGACTTGAGCTGAGTGTGCAAGCGCTAACTGGTTGCCCTAGGGCTTCCTTTTCTGGGAGGAAACTAGTTAAGCTTTGCTGTGCGGACATGGGGCTTAGGTGAGCGACTCCATCATGGGGCTGAACTGGTGACTGTAAAATAGGGTTAGCTTTAAAGACTTTAGTAAATGTTTCAAGGCACATTCATGTATTTTAGTCTTTAGCTGTGATAATAAATGTATTCAGAAATGTGTGTATTCAAAAGGATTTTCTACCCTGGCTGATGTGGCTCAGTTGGTTAGAGTGTCATCCTGTAAATGGAAAGGTGACGGGTTCGATTCCCCATCAGGGCACATGCTTGGGTTGCAGGTTCTGTTTCCTGTAGGGGCATGTTTGGGAGGCAGCTGGATCAAACCATGTTTCTCTCTCTCCCTCCCTCTCTCTCTCTATCTCTATAACCTCTTCCTATATCTCTATCCCTAAACCCTTCCTCTCCATCTAGAATCAAATGATATATCTCCTCAGGTGAGGATTAAAAAGAAAATAAAAAGGATTTTCTCCCCTGGTGATGAGGTTGAGTGTGAGAGTGAGCTCTTGGTCTTATACTCAATTCTCAGTTGTCTTTCCTAATGGATCGTGAGTCCTCCACTGTGGTGTTTGCATTTTGTCCTGTGAGCTGCTTTTCCCCAGAGACGCTGGCTACTGTCAGGCAGTGAGTGGGGAGAGGGGGCACATCCTGTCTTCTCCATGAGCTCAAGCATAGAGGCTGATTCAGAGCCCACAGGCGGGCTGAGCCCGGCACTCCCCACCCCCTACAGGGCAGCGGGTCACCCAGAGTTCCCCAGGGGGAAGAAGCCCTCCCCCAGCTGTGTTCCTCCTGCACCCACTTCTGAGCACGGCTGACGGGCACTGCTGAGCTCTGCTAAGCAAGGGCAGGACGCCTGACCCCCGTCCCCATCCTGACCCTCTACGCCCAGCCCCGGTGCTTCTGCACCCCCCTGTGCCGCTGGCACCCACGCACACATTCCACACAGTCCCACCCGCCACATGGCAGCCCGAGGGCTGCTCCCCGCCTTCTCCTCTGGGGGCATCTGCTGCCCTCGGCCCCTCCAGGATGCTCTGGGAAGGAGCCCCAGCTCTCGATCTCTAATAAAATATTTTATAGGCACACATACCACTTTGGCGGGGCTTCAGGATGTCGTCGTTCAGCAGGATGAAAGAAAACCAGCACATTGCCTGTGGAAATTTAAATATTAAAACCCAGGCAGTGGCTATCTTTCAGTGACTGCCGTGAGCAAGGTGTCAACGACCCCGTGTGTTTCTCTCTGCTTCCCACAGGGAACTACTGGAACGCGGCCTCATTCCCCAACCCGTCTTCCTACCTGCACTTCTCGACCTTCCAAGGGGAAACCAGTGCCGACATTTCTTTCTACTTCAAAACGCTGATCCCGCGGGGGGTGTTCCTGGAAAACCTGGGGAACACGGATTTCATCAAACTCGAGCTGAAATGTGAGTACAAGCACTTGGTTGACTCGGGAGCAGCCCTACGGGCTGGCCCCGGCCCCCGGGGGCGGCTTCACTGGAGTCCGACATCAGTGGATCCCCTGCTCAGGGGTGGTGCTAAAAGGCAAATGCTTGGCGCCAAGGAGGGCCCAGGTCCCTGACCTTGGATAGTTCACAGGGCGCAAGCACACAGGGAGATTCCCAATCAGGGATCTTCAGGAAGAGACAGAAAATAAGTTGCCCTAAGAATATGGAAGAATGGATATCTGAATTGAAATGATAGAGAATGAAAAAGAAGGAAGGGAAGGAGGAAGGAAGGAAAAGAGGGAGGGAGGGAGGGAGGAGAGATGAATCGCCTTAACAAAACTGGGGAAGAATGGATATTTAAAACTTCTTTTTGTGTTTATTTTCCAAGGAGACAGGGTTAAGAGTAGATAGAGAATCGTGTAAAGCGATCAGGAAAAGGCATAGGAGAGTGGGGGCAGGGGATAACACAAAGGCAGCGGGCATGACGATACTTAACGTCTGTATGAGTTAATGAAGCAGCGAGGACGGTGTTGAGTAATGTGATGAAAGTTGGCCTCCGCTGCTCTCAGGAGAGACCCCACACCCGCGCACCTTCTGAAGGCTTTGGCACAGAGTTTGGTGGGCCAGGGACACAGAACCAACCGTCAGGGCCAGAGCAGGTGCTCCCCAGCTCAGCTCGGCGAGCCTTGGGTCCCAAGGCCCCTCACAAGATCACACGGTTAGGGGCCGCCACCATGGGAGGCAGGGTCCTCTGGACCTGAGGAGCGCAGCCCTCACCACGCGGGGCCTCTCCTCACTGGGGCCTAAGTTCAGCTCTAGGGGCTGACGGTCCACAGACTTCCAAGTTTGCTGAATATTTATAAACGCAGACTCTGCTGGCTGCTTAGAAAAAAGACAGAATCGGCAAGATGACAGATGCACCCAGGAGGGGAAACCAGTCAGTGCCCCATGTTTTTCCACTGTCTCGGGGCCTGCTCCCCACTGTAAGGGGTCAGAAAGTCTCCTTCCTGCCCCTGCTTGTGCCTGCAGGCTTACACCACTCGGTCTGGTCCGGTGACCCCAAACCCCTCTCCCGGAAATAACTGGGGCAAAACTCTCCTCTTTCTGTAGTTTAAATTATGCATTATGGCCTTCAAAAGGAGGAATCTCAGAAAAGTGCCTCTCTCCTGAGGTCCTATGGCACTCTTTCGGTGGGACGGGGACCGGGGTGCGGCAGACAGTGTGCAGACTTTGGAGTGAGCATTTGCAGGGCGAACCCTAATCGTTGGGTAAACTGCTTCATCTCTCTGACCCCAACTTCCTCATCTGTGAAATGGGGACGGTCATGTCTGGGGTTGTTAGGATGAGAGACTGTAGACGTTCATGAGTTATTTATTTCAGTGAAGCCATGGCACTTCATCATCTTTCCAAAGATGCTCCTTACAGGTCTAATCTGACTCAGATCTGATTGAAAGGGAGGCTGAGAATATTCTAGCCCTAGAATTAAGAAGTAAATAGCCTTGGCCAGGTGGCTCAGCTGGTTGGAATGCTGTCCCCTCCACCAGAAGGCTGCAGGTTTGATTCCCAGTCAGAGCACATAACCTCGGTTACAGGTTCAAGCCCTGGTCGGAACATGTGCAAAAGGCAACCGGTTGATGTTTCTCTCACACATCAATGTCTCTCTCTCTCTCCACTCCCCTTCCGTGCTCTCTAAAATCAATAAACATACAAATAAATGAAAATCCCTTCTTGTCATAAATTATGGATTGGAATTATTTTAAAGGGGGTTTTAGTTCCCAAAGCTGGAAGCAATTGAATCAAACCATCTTCTGACTTACACATTAGTTGGATCGTATTCCAGAAATATCTCATGGCAAAAAAGAAAACTGACAATTCCATATTTGAGTTATTTTCTAAGTTTCTACAAAATTACTTGGACCCACCTGTCCTTGTTTTATATCCCCATGTTTTGGGAACCCACGTCTGGGTCAGAAAGAAGGCACACAGTGTACAGAAGGAGCAGCGCTTCTACTTGGGTGTGTCACTTGCCACAGAGTCGGCTCCGACCCCGGACAACTCCCGAGTAACTGACGCCTGCAACACCCCGCCGTCCTCAGCAGCCCTGCTCAGCCCCCGCCGGCTCGGCCTGTGGCCTCTTTTCTGGAGTCAGTCCCCCTCCTACCTGGTCTCCCCTTTTCCTACCGCCTTCTCTTCTTCCCGGGGTTCTTGTCTTTTCCAAAGAACCCCTCCTCCTCACGGTGTGTCAGAAACAGGACAGCCTCAGTTTTTTTGTTTTTGCCCCCACAATGTTTCAGGCTTAACTGGCTCTGGACCGCTCGTTCATCTTTCTGCTGGTCCAGGGTGTCTTTACAGGCGCTCTTCCAATCCCACATTTCAGATGAATTGATTTTCAATTGATTAATAATATTTGTTAGTATTTCTGAGATGGCAGAAGAATGTTGCTTAAAAGTTTTTCCTGACAACCATGGATAGGTACACCTGCTTGTTTTTTCAGAGCAGCTTGACATCTCTTGATCCCTTTTCTGACCAAGGTAATTAATGATCGTGACCACAGTGTCATCATCTGGCCACCACTTACTGAGCACCTCCTGTGTCGGAGGCAGTGGGGCCAATTCTGGAGATTCTAAGGTGAAGACCAGAGACCCCAACACCCTCACCCAGCAAGGAGACAATCGCATCACTAGCAGCTTTGAGAGTCTTGTAAGTACCCAACGCATCAGGCAGGTGTGACGGCATCACACAACGATGAGGCAAGGGATATGGAACAGTGCGTACCCCTGTACCCCCGGGGCCAGAGCAGTGGCACACACACACACCCACCCCACCCCCCACGCCGTGGCTGCCGAGTCCTCATTTGCTGCATGGAGGGAGTGCATGCGCAGGATACTAGTCTACACCAGGGAAGGTCGAGCGGCAGAGGCCGATCACCGTGACTGCAGGCCTGCGGATCAAAACACTGACAAAGAACAGAGTGAAAGGTGGAAAGAGAGGTCGTGGCTGAGCACGCCAGGGCTTCCCGAGAAAGCAGACCTAAGGAGCATCCTCTGGCCGTGCAGGCAGGGCCTTGGCTGTCTGAAAGGGCTCTGGAGACAGGCACTGGTTGTCTGACCATCCATGTCACCGCGAGGGCCCTGATGGTGATGGCAAGGGACGGAGTGGACAGGGAGCCTGTGAGTGGAATGTCACTGTCCTTGGGTCCCCCAATGACAGTCATAGAATGGGGGGACAGAGTGTCACAGGAGGCGTGTGGCTGAATGAGGCTCTGGGGCCACAGAAGCGAAGGGCTGACAGGGGACGTCCACCGCCCTCTGGCCCGAGGTGTGGACAGGCCCGAGGGGGGTCACAGGGCCGGAGGCCCATGAACGACAACCCAAGGAAGGGGGTGTTCGATAGTAGCGACCGTGGCATTTTTATTTTTAAATTAAATAATTTAAAACAGTGGGAAATTTTTGAAGGGGATGATCACCAACTAGGAAACATTGAGGAAAAGCATCTAGAAACTGTTGTGATATGTTAGCACGAGCTTCTGTGTTGACCGAGTTTGCACTTTTTCCAACATCGGGATGACTCAGAAAATATTTGCATTTAGCAGGCATCTCTCCTCAAAAATGTGGAGGCAGCAGCCCGATGTCCTCCTAATCTTAAGACGGTATTAAGGAACAGCTTTCATTTCCCAAGACGCCGCCTTCTGTAATACGCATGCTGGAGGAAGACACAGGAGAAAATGTCCTGCAATATATAGAACTGATGAATCAGAAGAAATAAACTAACAGCAGTTTATCTCCCACTATTTCAGAACTGGAACAGCTTTTTATATTAAAAGAACCTCACTTGTAGAGACATGAGGAGTGTCTAATTTTACTCCACTGGCCTGTTGTGACTTTGGGTTGTTACTTGGGATGTTTTATCTTTTTTATGTATACTGAGCTTTTATTAATACAAATCAGTATTAGCACCCAGATTTTTCCTTTTCACTTATCCAAGCCAACTTATTTTATCAACACAGACTTAGGAAGAATTTTAATGTTTCTACTACTTTGCAAGTCTCACTATGAGTTCAATTTGTATTAAAGCTTTGGGGTCTGAAGAATGATTCTGACTTGGTTATTACAATGCACATGGAAAAAAAATTACACCTTCAAGAAAAAAATTTAAAACCATAATAGCAACACTGTTGTGATTTTTTTTTAATACATTTCTCCAGCTTTTGATTTACACTTTTCAAATTCAGTTATGGACAAAAAAGTTTAGAGATACCAATTAAAGATGAAATGTGTGCTCTATTATAGGGATTGAATATATTAGCTGTGTACCTTTTATTAAATATTAAAAGGTATACAAATAATTGGTAAATAATAAAGTTGCACTGAATTTACCCAGACTTCTTTGTCAGTCTTACTGAAGGGACAGCTATTTGAGTATGTGACATAGGTACGTACCTACAGCTATAAGGAGGCGGTCCTCTGATATGAAAAATTGCCTCGGTTACCTTAGATGCTACTGACCCACCCATATTTGCTGATTTGGAAATTTCTAGAAGCAGTTGGGAACTCCCCTTATGCTGGCCACACAAGTCGGCTGAGAGCTGTGGTTCTGATATCCTTCCTCCACGCCCCAGGGGCATCTTTAAAAGACCATCCCTCCCCCACATTTTTTTTTGGATTTTGTGTGAAATCCTGCCCACACAAAAAAAAATGTTTTAATCATCACCCAAGGCTATGTTTATATTGATTTTGAGAGAGAGAGAGAGAGAGAGAGACCGATGTGAGGGAGAAATGTTGATTGGTTGCCTCCTATACGCTCCCTGACTGGGTATCAAACCCACAGACTAGGCATGTGCCCTGACCGGGGAAGGACCCCACCTTTTGGTGTGTGGGACAATGGTCCAACCAACGGAGCAACCCGGCCAGGGCACAAAAGATTTTTTTTTTACTGCTCCTTGATGTATGAAACATACACAAGACAGAAGTCTTTCATTT